GTTTCCTTGCCGGAAGATTGTGCAACCTCCATTCATCTTGAGGGGTTACCGAGAGGAAGAGTAAATAGGTGGTTGAGCCCACACGAACAGTGGGTCTTCCGTGGGGGGTAAGGTCACTTGTGCCCCCAATTTAGACAGCAAGTCTCTTCCTAACAAAGGTACTGGGCATTCAGGGATGTATAAAAATTCATGAGTCACTTGGCTTCCTCCCATCTGACATTTTCAGGGTAGGCTAGAGACACAAAAGGCTGCATTTATCACCATCTGAGACCCAGCAGCCTCTGGCTGGGTCTATTGGCGTATAAAGTCTATAGGCCTCGCACAGTCTTCTGCAGAACTCAGAGGGTGATTCGCTTTCCCTTTGATCACTGCGGAGGGTTTTGCGATACTCATAGGTTTTTCGGGCCCCCCCTCTTGAGGCCTTGTAAAACAGTCACCTGATATCTCTCCAGGTGGCCCCTCCCTTCCTCTGTGTTACAGTCCCAATCGGGCCTCTCATGGGGGCTGGCTAGTTCTGCCCGCTGCTGTGGGTTTGCAGTGCCCCCAGGTGCCATTTCTCTGAACCATTTTCTGGCCTCAGTTAGGATCCTGTGTCTTTCCTCAGTGTGAAAAGGGAGACTAGCAGTTGGATTATGTCATCCTATGTAGGGCAGTGGGTTCGAACAATAGTCTCCACTAGCCTAATCCTGGCTGTGGTTCCCCCGAGTATGGTGGAACATGTCTCTGCCAGTTTAATATATCCGTAGAGGAAAATGGCTGGTAACAATAGGCTACAGGAGATGATGGTAGTGCCCCATGCGTCCTGATCCGGAGGCTGCTGTAGCTCTCTGAGGGGCATCTGTAGTGGGGTTCTTTCCCCCTGTTCCTTGGTGGAGCACAGCCTCTGTCTAATTGCTGTGTTTTCTTCCCCCTTCCCATCGGTACTCACCGGGAGAGGTGGATACAATCTAAGAGGTCCAGCTGAGGTGGAATCCTGGGGCCGTTGACCAGAGGTCTCCATTGCTGGGATTGCAGCCTGCCGAATCGGCGGCTCTATAAACTCCAGGAGAGCTGGTGGAAGAGCAGCGGCTGCTGCAGGAACTTCCCCTGGCCCTGGATGGGGGATTAAGGCGGCCCCGGTCCTGGTGGAGCCCTGGGAGGCAGGCGCGTCCTTATCCAGTATGGGGGAGGGGTCAGGTCATCCCCATCCAAATCCTGTAGAATTTCCTTTTTTATCATCAGTCAATTTTTGTGCCATTAATATTTTTCCCTGTCCCTTCTGGATACAGAAAGAACCTTGTCCAGGTAGGAGGGTCTCGAGCTAACCCTAGCAATGAGTCAGTATGTGGATATCGATCCAGGTGTCCTGGCCCTCCTATGACTGCTGTGTAGACTGCTTCCACTATTTTTAAGATCACAGTGTTCTCTGGTGGCCATCCTACTCCCATAGGGGGCCGTTCGACTTCACAGAGTATGTGGAGGCAGTTAGGCTTCATCTTCACCCTATAGTCTCCTCCTAATCCCTTCTTTAAAAATTTTAATCATGCACTCCAATACAGTTGCCTTAGATTCACTTCCCCTTCATCTTGCTTACCTTCTTGGACCTTCTTCTACTTTACCTTTTCGTTCTGTCTACGAAGTTCTCAGTCCCCTATGTACTTCTGATATTTCCACTCAATGACACTTAAATTGCCATTCTGCCTCCTTCCTAATTGGGGTGAGCCAGATCCCAGAGGGAGAAGGGGGATCGGCGTGTCTTCACCTGCCAGTCAGCACAGCTGAACCAGAATACCACATGGTCCAAGATTGTTTCTCCCTTAAAGTCCATTCTGCCTTGGTGGGCTTGATCAGGTGCGGATGAAAATACATATGGGTTAAATATCCCACGTCCCAGGCCATCTCCAGAAAAGCCAATTCATACTCACTTATGTATCCTCCTCCTTCTAGCCTGACAATTCCGAGGGGGTCAAGAATTTCACAGCAGACGGGACACCTCCTTGGGGAGGGTAGAATATGAGCATACAAGGACCAGTTTCCTATCCTAAACATCCCCTGGCGATTGCTTGGTAATAATTTTCCCCAAGATGGCGTGGACACACCTCCTAAATGACCTTCACAAATTCCCTTCCTAAGCCCTAGCACGCTTGTCGACCTGTGTACCAAGCAATCATTGCCACCTGCCTATTCCAGGCTCCTGTGGGTCTGTGCCCCTTCTAATCCCTCCCAGGGGGGTGATCAGGCCCCCTCTTCCACCCTACTGGGTGGGTTCCTCCTCACCTGAGCGCTCAGTTCCCCTGCTGCCATCCACTACCTGCTAACGTGAAAGGTCCAGGCATTGAGAAGCAGGATCCTTCCAGAAGGGCGAAGCGCCTTTCCCCCTCTAGAAGATTCGAGCTGCAAGGCCTCGGAGTAGTCCCAAATGGGACTTGTCTCCTCAAAGTGAGGAGTTTCCCGGACAATGCACCAAATGTTATAGCCACGCATTCTGGGAAACAAACTCACTCAGAAGGACAATGCAGATAGAGGAGTGCAGTTTATTACACTGGCAGGCCCAAGGCAGGGTCTCCTCTTAGCTACGGACCCTGACCAGTTTTTCTGAAAACCTTATATACCTTAAGTGTATGTGCCCAAACCCACCTTCCCAAATTCCCTGAAACTAGTCTGAACAAAGGAAAAGAAAGATACAATCAAAGTTAACCCTTGATTCATATATCTTAAGCCTAGGTAGTTAACAATGGACAATTATCAACAGGCCTGTGGTCATGCCCAACAAGCATAATAGAATTTACGATTCTATTCAGTTACACAGATAATTAGAGTATTCTTTTGGGCAACGAAGAGTCTAGGTACGAACCCTGGGGCTAGTCCATCCAGGGCACCTGGTTTTCCAGCTGGTATGTCTTTTCCATAGATAATGGGCACAGAGCTCAAAGTCCACAGTCCGGCCCATCGTGGAGTCTGCTTTCAAGATGGAGCCACTTCTGTCTGTTTCCTCCTTCAATGCAAATCAGTTCATCAGTATTAAAACGCAGTTATGTCCACTGAAAGAGGAGAGTAGAGAACTACAGAATTCAGATAGCACAGATGATGAGCAGGCTGGAATAGTGCCCAAGGCCACCATCACTCAAGGGCTTAGCAGTATTAATCAAGAGCCATCATCTCTGGTTGCCTTGAAACTGTAATTGAAAATAAGTAAAGAAGAAATAACTAGGACGTGGAAGCAACCTAGACATCCATTGACAGATGAATGGATAAAGAAGTTGTGGTACATATACAGTGGAATATTGCTCAGCCATAAAAAGGAACACATTTGACTCAGTTCTAATGAGTTGGATAAACCTAGACCCTATGGTTTTTCCAGTGGTCATGTATGGATGTGAGTAGGACTATAAAGAAAGCTGAGCACCTTAGAATTGATGCTTTTGAACTATTGTGTTGGAGAACTCTTGAGAGTCCCTTGGACTGTAAGGAGATCCAACCAGTCCATCCTAAAGGAAATCAGTCCTGGGTGTTCATTGGAAGGACTGATGCTGAAGCTGGAACTCCAATTCTTTGGCCACCTGATGCGAAGAGCTGACTCACTGGAAAAGACCCTGATGCTGGGAGGGATTAGGGGCAGGAGGAGAAGGGGATGACAGAGGATGAGATGGTTGGATGGCATCACTGCCTCGATGGACATGAGTTTGAGTAAACTCCGGGAGTTGGTGATGGACAGCACGCCAGGCTTGGCGTGCTGCGATTCATGGGGTCGCAAAGAGTCGGACACGACGAGCGACTGAACTGAACTGAACTGAACTGAACTAAGACCCTATTGTACAGAGTGAAGTTAAGTCAGAAAGAGAAAGACAAATATTTACACATATATATGGACTCTAGAAAGATGGTGCTGACGAACCTATCTGAAGGGCAGCAATGGAGATGCAGACATAGAGAACAGACTTGTGGACACAGGATAGGAAGGAGAGGTTGGGGCGAATGGAGAGAGCACTGAGGCATATATATTCCCACATGTAAAATGAGATGCTGTGTGACACTGGGAGCTCAAATCAGGGCTCTGGGACAACTTAGAGGGGTGGGATGGAGTGGGAGGTGGGACAGAGGTTCAAGAGGGAGGAAATATACACATACCGATGACTGATCCGTGTTGATATGTGGCAGAAACCAACACGATATTGTAAAGCAATTATCCTCTGATTAAAAATAATTTTTTAAGTTAAAAAAGAAAATAAAGAGAAGCTATATGAACAAAGCTGTTCACAGCAGCCTTTACTTATAGTTATCAAAATCTCAAAGTAACCCAAATATCTAACAATTGATTTGGGCACATTTACTTGATAGAATATTTGGAAGCCACTAAGAATGTTAAATGTGTAAAAAACATGAACAGTTTTTGATGAAAAAATAGAACTCAAAATTGTCTGCCCACCCTGTCCAAAGCAATGTGAAAATAGAAGATGGGATGGGAACAAACAATCAATCAAGTCCTGGTATTGTCAGTGAATCAGACAATGACAGACCTCCCTGGGGCGTCCACCTCAGCTGCTAGGTGGGGATTTGAACCAGAAAGCACAGATGGCCCCCACCGGAAGCCCCTGGGGCACAAAATTAAAATGCAGATTCCAGACCAAATCAGGTTGGGGCCCATACATTTGCATTTTTAACACTCCATGAGGGTGTGATTCTTATAAACACTCAAGTTGGGGACATGGACTACTAAATTATTTCCAAGTAGTTTTGGTTTGCTAGATTCAGAGTTTCTACAGGTTTACACAGTCAAATGTGGCTAACAGAAGTGAATCAGATTTCTGCATCACGGCTCCAGTGTGGTCCCAGTGGGGGACAGGCAGGAGTGGGGGGGCTGTGGCAGGTCTGGATCTTTGCCTGGGCTTGTCCTTCTGCGAAGGATCCCTGCCTTTGCCAGAGTGGGTGTGACCACACCGCGTCTCCAGCTGGAGCCTGTGTGCACGATGCCACGCTGGTCCTCACTAATGCTTGGCCTTCACCCTGTCTCCTGCCCCCAGAGAAGTCATCCGGACCCTCCCTACCCTGGAATCTCTGCAGAGGCTGTTTGACCAGCAGCTCTCCCCGGGCCTGCGTCCGCGGCCTCAGGTAAAGACGCTGGGAGCTGATGAAACAAGTGTGGGAGGGGCCTGGGAGGGAGGATGGATGGGGAGGTGGGGAGAAGAGGTAACCAATGTCCCAGGGATTTTGTTGGACCCCCACCTCTAGGGCGAAGGAACTTCAGGATCCTGCCCCTCAGTAAGGTTTATGCCTCCTGCCCCCACTGAATTTTGATTTGAGGAACTGCCAGCAAAACTCCTTTAGTGCTGAGTAAAGGAGACATGGCAAGGCCTTTTCTCATCAGAAACTGACAAAAACTGGAGGTACCTAATGGTTTGGTCCCGCCTCTTACCCCTGGAAGAGCAGGTGAAGGTGGCCCCCTGAGACACAGACACACACACACACACACACACACACACTGGGAGCCAAAGCCTGCGAAGTTGTCTGTGTCACAGAAAGTGTCCCCAACAAAGCTAAAAACAGAATTAATATGTTTAAAAAGCAACCCCTGCCACACATGATTAAGTAAAAGCCAAAATTTTTAAATGGGGAGAGGATTTTAAAAGGCTGTTTTACTGAAGAGGGACTGAGAATCGTCAGGATACCCTTGAAGAGATGTTAGTAACACCTCATTAGTAGCCAAAAATGAGCTGGAAAGCAGGGAGACCTCTGCTTGCCTTTCCAATGGGCAAATTTGATTGGTGAAGTCAGGACTTGGCTCCAACGCAGGGGTCAGGACTCATGGGTTCATTGCTTACAGTTGTGAGTGCAAATGGATTTTTGAAATGCAATTTAGCCGTTGGCATGAAAATGTTAAATGCCCAGCATCCTGCAATCAAGCCAGCTACCTCTAGGCAGCTGCCTTAGGGCCTACACATTTGCACAGATGTTGACAAAGGTGTTTATTGTAGCTTTGTCTCTAAAAGCAAGAAGTAGGATGCACAATTCTAAACTAAGGTAGATGCATTGATATAGAAAGATCTTCAAAGTACACTGTTGGGTGGAAAAAGCAAACGTTTGAACCATATATAAACTAGGGTGTAAGTCTACACACGGAAACTGTACCAGGTGTGTTTATACCCAAAAGGCAGTACTGGTCACCGCAAGGAGGGGATGGAATGGAGTCGAAGCGACCTGGGTTACGTTTGCCCAGAAGGTTTTTTGGTTTGTTTTTTTTTTTTAACTGAGAAACTGTTTTTTTATTCTGTTTGTACAACTTAAAAATTCAAGAGGGGGGAGGGGATCAAGCAAATGTAATTTTGCTTTCCTCAAGTGAATGATGGGTTCGTTTCCGGGAAAGTAAAAGCGAATCTAGACAAAACAGGAGCCCTACCAGACACTAAAATTTAAATAGTTTGACTCTAAGAACATACACCCAAACCTTTGAAGTCGATTAGAAGAGGGAGAAGTTTCCAGATAACCTAAGAGCAGTCACGCCCCAGCATCTGCCCTGCATGCCTCGGCCAGCGTGTTTGCATTCTGTGGCAGGTCAGAGTAGTGACAGGATGGGGGTGACATCAGGATGTAGAGAAAGGGTCCTGGTTACCACCCTCCCATCTGAGACCCTGATTTGAAAAAGCAGAGACTGTGTTGATGCCTTCTGAAATTTCACAAATGGAAAAGGGAGTTCCGGTAGAGGAAAGAACCCTGACCTGTGCATCAGAAACATCCAAGTTCAATAGATGACTGTGCCCCCACCGTCACTTTCCTCATCTGTGAAATGGGCATAGTTATATCTGCCACTTCAGGGTTATGTGAGGGAGTAAGTGAAACTGCTTGGGTGGCACATCTGGAGGTGGCAGCCTCTTACCAGCATGAGGCCCTTTCCCTTAGGTCAGCAAGACAAGATGGGGACCCCTTTGTGGAGTGTATCTGAGAAACTGCTGGGAGGTGCAAAGTGCAGCATTAGCAAAATGTGAGGTTTGGGGAGAGCCCTGGGTCTACCCTGTGTGACAATGGAGACTTGTTAACCTTGGAACCCACATCCTCTGAAGTGCAACTGAAAAGCTCAGTGAAATAACTGGGTCAGCTTCCATAAAGCCATGGGTGGCACTCAGACCAGTTCGCCCACATTGAGGCTGAGTTGTGAATTTTGACTTCAACCTTAACGCTAGTGACATTTGGGGCAGGTCATTTTCTGTCGTGGGGGACTGTTCTGTGCAGTGTAGGATGTTAACACATCCTGACCTCTACCCACTAGATGTCGTTAGCATCCCCCAATTTTGGCAACCCCAAAATGTTCCAGACCTTGTCAGATGTCCCCAGAGGTCAAGAGCCCCACCAGCTGAGAACCAGTGACCCAAATCTCAGGTCAACACTAGCAGTGTGACCTTGGACAGCTGACTCACCGCTCTGACTCAGTGTCCCCGTCTGAAAACCAAGGACTGGAAAAGTCAATAGATGAGCACAAATATCTTAAACATGCCGGGCAGAGTGTACCCACCATCTCATGGTCATGTGCATTCAGTTGAGTTCAGTCGCTCAGTCGTGTCCAACTCTTTGCGACTCCATGAACTGCAGCATGCCAGGCTTCCCAGTCCATCACCAACTTCCGGAGCTCGCTCAGACTCATATCATTGAGTTGGTGATGCCATCCAGTCATCTCATCCTCTGTCGTCCCCTTCTTCTCCTGCCTTCGATCTTTCCCAACATCAGGGTCTTTTACAATGAGTCAGCTCTTCACATCAGGTGGCCAAAGTATTGGAGCTTCAGCTTCAGCATCAGTCCTTTCAATGAACACCCAGGACTGATCTCCTTTAGGATGGACTGGTTGGATCTCCTTGCAGTCCAAGGGACTCTCAAGAGTCTTCTCCAACAGCACAGTTCATAAACATCAATTCTTCTGCACTCAGCTTTCTTTATAGTCCAACTCTCACATCCATACATGACCACTGGAAAAACCATAGCTTCGACTAGATGAACCTTTGTTGGCAAAGTAATGTCTCTGCTTTTTAATATGCTGTCTAGATTGGTCATAACTTTTCTTCCAAGGAGGTTTATGTCTTTTGATTTCATGGCTGCAGTCACCATCTGCACTGATTTTGGAGCCCCCCAAAATAAAGTCTGTTACTGTTTCCATTGTTTCCCCATCTTTTTGCCATGAAGTGATGGGACCAGATGCCATGATCTTAGTTTTCTGAATGTTGAGTTTTAAGCCAACTTTTTCACTCTCCTCTTTCACTTTCATCAAGTGGCTCTTTAGTTCTTCGCTTTCTGCCATAAGGGTGGTATCATCTGCATATCTGAGATTATTGATATTCTCCCGGCAGTCTTGATTCCAGCTTGTGCTTCCTCCACCCCAGCATTTCACACGATGTACTCTGTACATAAGTTAAATAAGCAGGGTGACAATATACAGCCTTGACGTACTCCTTTCCCGATTTGGAACCAGTCTGTTGTTCTATTTCCAGTTCTAACTGTTGCTTCTTGACCTGCATACAGATTTCTCAGGAGGCAGGTCAGGTGGTCTGGTATTCCTATCTCTTGAAGAATTTGCCAGTTTGTTGTAATCCACACAGTCAAAGGCTTTAGCGTAGTCAATAAAGTAGAAGTAGATGTTTTTCTGGAACTCTCTTGCTTTTCAGTGATCCAATGGATGTTGGCAATTTGACCCCTGGTTCCTCTGCCTTTTCTAAATCCAGTTTGAACATCTAAAAGTTCACAGTTCACGTATTGTTATGCAGTCTTCTACCTAACAAGGTAGTACAGGCAAAACTCCAGCTTTCTTTAATACCTTTTGTTCCAAGAACTGACTCCACTTTGTCAGTAGCTTCCTTTCTACTTTGTACATCTTTGCCCCAAAAGACAGATTCCAAAAGAGAGTGGGGAAGACACCATCCTACTACCAGGTGATGATGACCATGGTAAAGATCCAGAGTGTCTGGGGGAGGAAGAGGGGGCTTAAATCTGCTTATCTTCTCGACTCTTTTCGAGAAAAACACCCCTAAAACAAGGGATCCTGTACTGTCCCACCTGCTCTCCTGCTCCATCCTTACCTGCATCCCAGCTCCACTCCAGCAAGCCCTTCCCTCTATCAGTAATAACTGTAGCCTGATTGGGAGCTTTATCAAGGAGCAAGGGCCAAACCAGAAAGAATTACAGAAAGTTTTGACAAATATTAACTGCTGTGATGATGGTGGTGATTGTTGTGGTGGGGGGTGGTTGTCGTGGCCGTGCTGCTGATGTTAGCAATGATGGCGGTCAGTGATGGCAGAAGGAGTGTACTGAAGTGGCTGGTGGGCGACTTCCCTGGTAGTCCAATAGCTAAGACTCCACACTCCTATTCCCAATATCAATCCCTGGTCAGGGAACTAGGTCCCACCTGCCGCAACTAAGCATTCTCATGCTGCAACTAAAATATCCCTCAGGCTGCACCTAAAGATCCCACATACCGCAACTAATACCCAGTGCAGCCAAATAAATAAATAAAAATAGTTTTAAAAGATAAAGTGGTCAATGGAAAAAAGTGAAAGTGTTAGTTGCTCAGTCATGTCTGATTCTTTGTGACCCTAGGGACTGTAACCCGCCAGGCTCCTCTGTCCATGGGATTCTCCAGGCAAGAATACTGGAGTGGGTAGCCACTCCCTTCTCCGGGGGAAATTGAGGTCAGACGTCTGTGTGAGCTGGCTGACTTACTGGGGGGTGGGGCATGGGGCAGCGCCTGGTTGGTGACCACCCTCATGCTACCCTGCTTAGTGTTTGGAATAGTCCAGTCTGGTTTTCTTATCCTTCTGGAGGGTGGGGATGGTGCCCTTTCAGCTCTATACTTCCAGCACCTTGGCACCGTGTCTGGCACAGAATTGAGGCTTTGTAAATATTTCTTCAATGAGTAAATGCTCGAGATTGTGGACCTGGTGCCAAGAAGACATGGTTTCACATCCTGCCGTGCCTTACTAGCTGTGTGACTTCCGACATGCAATGTCAGCTCTCTGAGCCTCACGCACGCAGTGAACAACTTGACTGAGCATCTCTGCTGGCCAAGGCCCCAGGTCACAGCACTGGACACAGTTCTCCTGGCCCCAGTCCTCACAGAGGTTACGTGCTAGCAGGGGAAACAGACAACAAACAAACTGACAATCAATACGATGGTGATCTAGCAGAGATGTCTTTGTGGCTCTGGTGGTCAGGGAAGACCTGTCTGTGACTCTGAGACCTGAATGGCAAGGCAGTGGCCTCCCCTGGTGACATTTATGTTTCTAGGATGCCTTAGGAAGTGTGGCTTCAGGCCATGGGCAGATCTGAAGGTCGGAGGGGCGTGGCTGGGGCTCAGTAGGGGGGGTCACACCGAGTCCTTAAAGGTTTGGATCATTGTTTTCTCCTGGTGGTGGGTGAGGGGGGTTGGAGCAGGGCCTGGCTGTGTTTTGAAAGTCCTGCAGCGGCGCCAATAGATGTAGTACACACAGGAGAGTGGAAATGCTGTGATCCGGGACAGACCTTGAGTTTTGTTTCTGCAACCGAATAGAGGCGGTGAGAAGCCCTGGGAGAGTAGCAGGTTTCGAGGGAAGAAGGAAGGAAGGTGTGCTTTTTGGTCATGATAATTTTGAGATGACTGTATATATCATATCCCTGATTTCCTTACCTGCAAAGAGGGGTAGTAATCCTACTTGTGGGGTTGTTGGTGGGGAAACCAGGATGAAGCCTAAAATCGGAACCTAAAAATAATTTCAGGCTAATCTCTTTTCCAGTAGCATGCCTGTCTTTGTTTCCTGGTTCAACTCATTTTGGTGAAAGGTACCAAACAGTTGCCTCTTTAACAGAAACACGCAGGCTCATCTGACAGCACCCGCTTCAGCAAGGATGTACAGTCCAGCCATTTGGGAACATGTTTGGCATACCTTGTAACCTCTGACCGCAGCAGTTCCTCCCCTAGCCTGTCCCTCGGCCCAGAGATGCTCTGGAAGTGTATTTTTAGGCTCAGCCTGATGCCTCTCACAGCTGGCCCTCAGCATCCCGTCCTTATCTGCTCTTTTGCTTGCGTCCCAGGTTCCTGGAGAGGCCAGTCCCATCAACATGGTGGCCAAGCTCAGTCAACTGACAAGTCTTCTGTCCTCTATTGAAGACAAGGTGTGTATGTGGGGGGCAATCCTGCTGCTTCCCTGGGCTTCTCTGTGGCCCCCTCTTCCCTTGGAGAATGCCCAGGTGTCCCCGTGACCCTGTCCCAGCCCGGACTGCCTTCTCATCGCCTCCCAGCCTGAGGCCCACGCGTTTCTGCCCACAGGTCAAGGCCTTGCTGCACGAGGGTCCGGAGTCTCCCCACCGGCGCTCGCTCATCCCGCCGGTCACCTTTGAGGTTCGTGTCCATGGACTTGTGCTCCACACGGGGGGCGGGGGGGGTTGGCCGGCCTTCTGGTCCCAGTGGAAGGAGGGCTTCAGGTTCAGCAGAGAGCCCGATGGCAGACTGAGATTGGAATTCAGCAGAACCGACTCCCTGGAAAGATGATGAAACGTTAGGATGGGTGCCCCGGTGAATCTGTGGAGCCTTCCTCATGGGGCGGATTCCATGGGAAGAGCTTCTCATTGATCCAAGACACAAAAGCTTCATCCTTCTCCAAGTGGGGGCAGTGAGAGTCATCAAGCAGGCGGGCTCTTGGACAGGCTGCAAAATAGTGCCTCGAGGTGGGGGTTAGGGAAAGAAAAGGGATTCCTATGATTTCCCTGAAAGTAACTGAGTTAGACTCTCTGGGCCCAGAAATTTGCTTTTCTTGTATTCCCCCGACATTGTGGAGAGTCTCGTCCTGCCCTGGTTTCACATTCAGAAACAGGATGGGATGCCCACCCCCACGTCCTTCTGAGCCCTGATGAAAATTCTGCATTAAGATGTATTTCTGGGACTTCCCTAGTGGTCCTGTGGTTAAGACTCTGCGCTTATACTGCAGGGGGTGAGGCTTCCACCCCTGGTTGGGGAGCTAAGATTCCACATGTGTGTGTACACATGTCTGCTTAGTGCTGTCCGACCCTTTGGGACCCCAGGGACTGCAGCCCACCAGGCTCCTCTGTCCATGGCATTTCCCAGGCAAGAATACTGGAGTGGGGTGCCATTCCCTTCTCCAGGGGATCTTCCCGACCCAGAGATCAAACCCAGGCCTCCTGCATTGCAGGAAGATTCTTTACTGTCTGAACTACCAGGGAAGCCCAGATCCACATACCTCATGGTAAAAATAATAATAATAAATAAAAACAAAATGTACAGAGCCAAGAGATGCTGCTTATAGCTTAAAGGGAAAAACGAAGGTACATGTCCATCTTCTGAGTGCCTAGACAATTGTCTTGTTCCTAATTGTTATCAGTAATAAGTTCACATATTGGCTGTAACAAGGCCTGGGAGCTTCAACCTATTATAAAATCCTCTGTGGAAGATGACTCATCAGATTTCTGAATGTTGTCAGATTAAACAGCGAATAAAGCATCTTCTAGTAGCTCATCTGTCTCCTCCACCAGACCTGTTGGCAGAACAGCTGATGCGCACACAGCAGACAAGCTGGGCTCCTTCCACATTTCAGCGATTCTCAGGAGCTGCCAGCGAAAACTCCCTCTGGGGCAAAGGAGGCTCAGAAATAGAAGCCAGAGGTCCCACACGGGAGGGACACACAGCGGCCAAGGGCCTCCCGGTCACACGGACGAGGGGCTCATGCGCGGCGCTGAGAAAGCACCGAGAAGGGATGACCAGCGTCTCTTTTTCCCCTTCCCTCCTCTTCCTTCTTTCCACAGGTGAAGGCAGAATCTCTGGGGATTCCCCAGAAACTGCAGCTCAAAGTCGATGTCGAGACTGGGAAACTGATTATTAAGAAGTCCAAGGACAGCTCTGAGGACAAGTTCTACACCCACAAGAAAAGTAAGGCCCCTCACGTTTGTAAAATTCTCGTTCTGCTAATGTCCTTACTGTGGTCGGCTGTGAGGAGCAGGCTGTCGGGAAAGCCTTCCACCCTTTGCTGGGATCCCTCCCAGCCCCCACCCTGCCTGTGGTGACCCTCCAGCTCTCAGGCTCCCTTCTTGTGCCCCCTGCACCTTGGGACCTGCTCCAAACACTCCGCCTGCTTCCTCCCACTCTGGGGAAACCCTTGGCCCTGGGTGGCGGTTCTGCATACCTACGTGCTCTTCCCACTAGGAGGCGGGCTGATGTGTGTGGTCATCCTTGTGCTTGGTTCTGGCCTTGCTGATCAAATCAGGGTAGCACAGCCCTACGGTAGCACAGACACAGTCCAGCCTGGCGTTAATGTCATGGGCTCTAAATTCAAACTGGGCATTCCCAGCTCCGCCACTTAGCACCTGTGTGACCTTGCACAGGACCCTTAGCCTTCCTGGGCCTCAGTCTCCTCATCTGTAAAATGGGGATCATAAGGTCCCCATGAATTAATCTACATGTAAGTCTCCTTAGGAAAGCCTAGCACATAGGAGTCAACTCTGGGCAGCCGAGGCTTTGCATTTCAAACAGTCTCATCAGTAAAATGGAAAATGTTCCCACACCAAAGGCTTATGGAGAAGCTGCTATGGGCCAAGAGCTGGGGATCTTGGGCAAGCAGGATAGTCAAAGACTCTGCCCATGTGGAATTTACATCCCATTGCACTGAGTGGCCAATAAGTATATCAGTAGGATGATCTCAGCTATTACTGTGTGCTGGAAGCCACAGGTGATGGATGGAGAATAACTGGGGGTAGGAGGCAATTTGAGGGGCAGAGTCTGGAGTTGGCAGCCTTGTCGGTGAGGATGGAAAGTGAAAGCCAGCAGTGTGGCCAAGGTCAGGGAAAGAGAAATGCTAGAGAGAGGCTCTTGGGGGTGGGACCCCTGAAGGGCAAGTGGGATTTGAGGGGCAACAGAGCAGAATGGTGGAAAATGCTCTGATGTGGCCCTGACATCATTGCTTGGGCTCAGAGCCCTGCCTACCAGTTTCTCCATCTGTACAATGGGAGGGAGTCCATGTATCATCATAGCATGATACTTTCTGAGCCCCTTTTCCTTACTTGATATTGGTTTATCCTCACAAGACTGACAGATTCCCCGAGTCAGTAATAATCGCCACAGACTCATCCCTTAAATAAATTTCCACTCTAACACAACAGTTTGTGTTCTAGTTCAGGTTTTCAAACCCCTGAAGACAAAGTCCTCTGGTCCACAAACAGTATTTTTTTTATCCTTCAGGGATTCAAAATCTGTTTAGTAGCATATAACTAGGGATGCCAGATTTAGCAAATAAAAATACAGGATACCCAGTTAAACTTAAATTTCAAATAAACAATGAAAAATTTTAGTACAAGTATGTCCCCTGCAATACTTGGAGCATACTTATAAAGGTATGCCTTTTTCTGAAAAGGAATCCCAGACATCCTGTATTTTATCTGGCAATCCCAGGCATGATCAGCATCTTTTGTTGTTAATAAAGTGGTATGAGAAGAGAAAGAACAGACAAGAAAGCAGAAAACATCACAGGAGTTTTGTAAAGAGTAATTGTGCTTAGTTGCTCAGTCATGTCCAACTCTTGGAGACCCCATGGACTGCACCCCACCAGGCTCCTCTGCCCATGGGGTTTCTCCAGGCAAAAATACTGGAGTGGGTAGCCATTTCCTTCTCCAGGGGATCTTCCCAACCCAGGGATTGAACCCAGGTCTCCCATGTTACAGGCGGATTCTTTACCGTCTGAGCTACCAGGGAAGCCCTTGCAAAGAGTAAAGGTAAATGTTTTTTCATTAAACTTGTGTTGTAGTTATACACACATGCACATATACATAGACATTGTATACATGTAGTTACATGAAAACCCTTTTCTTGCTGTCTGGAAGTGGGGAATTCTCATCTGGTTCTGCTACAGGCCTGGCTTGTGGGATAGATAGAATGTTCTGGAGACAGGTTCTAGTTGGAGACCATGACTGATGGCCAGAGTTGAGAAGTTGGGGAAATCCCGCCTCACTAGCCTTGCGGAGCAGGTGCCTGTTGGGAGCGTGGGCTCCATGCTGTCTGCCCTCTGCTATTTAGCCCTGAGCTGGAGTGGCCTTGAGAGATTGTCTTGGGTCAGCACCACCTGCCCTGAAGCTCTCGCCAGCAGAGATCGCAGATGGGAGCAGGTCACGGCATGTCCCACACGGGTCTCTGGGGAACATAACACAAGCCACAGCCTCACCCCGTTGAGAAAACTGGCCTGAGCTGAGTATTCAGAAGGCAGATATTTGACCTGACAGCCAAGTCCTGCAGATTCCTCCCATTGCCCCCAAGAAACCCTAGAGCTGGACTTCCGTGGGTGGGGAGATTGTATGTTCAGCAAAAACCTGATGCCAGACGCTGTGCTGGAAACAGTAGGACAGAGGATAAGAACTTGCATGGGCTCCAAGGCTAGACTGCACGGATTCAAATCTAGGCTCTGCCACTTGCTTGCTGTATCTTGTTGGCCTAGCGGCTTAACTGCTCTGCACCTCCATTTTCTCATCTGTAAAATGGGAATAATAGTAATGTCTCATAGGCTTGTCATGAGTAGACGAGCTGATGCGTGTGAGGGTACCTCCCTGTGCCTAACAGCAGCACTGACCCCACAGCAGAGTGTCCAGGGCCAGGGGAGCGGGGTTGCCCCATATGTGTCTGCCCTGTCCCGCAACCTGTTCCCGAGTCCCACCTGGGCTGAGGCACCAAAGTCCAACGGATGCTCTCAGGGCTGCAAGGGGATGGAAGTCTGGGGACCAGCCCTGTGCAGGAGGTGGGATACAGCCTGGAGAAGCGGGTAGATAGAGCTGGGAGGTGTCAGAAGCCCAGCCTGAAGTCTCAGGTCAGCTGCTTGTGAGCTTGATCTAGAGCCCTCTCTAGCAAGGAATGTGCAGGCTATCTAGGACCAACAAGATTGGAACTATGAATAATGCGCTGCTGCACAAAGGGAGTGTGAAGGCCCCACCCTGGTGGAGAGATACCTGATTGAAATTGCCAAGAACTACAGTGTGCCCTGTGAGCCCAACTCTGTGGTCATGGTAGAAGCTCCTCCTGGAGTAGAGACAGAGCAGCGTCCTCAGTTTGCTCTTCTGTCAAATGGGTATAGTAGCATCCTGTAGGGCGGCCACGAGTCTTAAGTAAACATCAAAGCACACACTGCCTAGCATCTAGCAGATGCTCAATAAAATGGACTGCTACCACCATCCCCTGGAGGAGAACACGGCCATCCAGTCCGGTATTCTTGCCTGGAGAATCCCATGGACAGAGGAGCCTGGCAGGGTTGAAAAGAGTCGGACCTGACAGAAGCGACTGAGCATAAGCACCATCATCATGGTATAATCATCCCTCCAGGGAAACTTTGAGGACGGCAGAGCTGATCAGTGAGGAGGACAGAGCAGGAAATGAAGCCCTGAGACACTGGAGTGTGACAGGCTGTCATACTCACAGAGTTGGGGGTCACAGGGCAGGGGTGGGACCGCTCCGTCCACTGCCAAGTTGGGCGGGAGAACTGGGGACTTACTGAAGGTGTGAGCAGGGAGGACTCCTGAGAGATCAGCTTAGAACACTAAGTTCCTCTTCACTGTCATGGAGACTGACTTACAACTGAAAGAGGTGGGCCCAATTTTGATAAGAGGAAACGGAAGTCTCAGATGAGTAAGGAGATTGTCAGAGAGTGCCCGCTTGCTCTAAAACACTTGAGGTTTCTGAACTGAAAGAAATGCCTGTTAGAATTCCGAGAAGCACTGTGAATTCTTGTCAGCTAATTCAATGGACATTTTTCTTTGAACATCTCCTGTGAGCCAGCCCTGAGGTTAGCCCTCCCTCCAAGAATCTGTGGTTTAGGAGGGAAAGCTGATGTGAGCATGTATTACAACATGTGTCAGATGTGAGCTTAGCCCTGGAGAAAGATTGATTAGCTCTGTTGTAAGGTGGTGCAGGGAAGCCTCATACCACAGAGGTGGCTCTGTCTGGGGCTTTGAAGGTTGAATAGGAGTTCAAGTATGTGGTAAGGGAGGGGACTTGAACTCAGGGAAAGGCATGTGCAAGGAATGCAGCAGGGTGTTAGGGAAATCAAATGTCACTTGTTGTGGCCCTGGAGGGAAGACCAGTGGGGCATGGTGTCCCAGGTGTGGGCGGGGCCTTGAATGCAGAGTAAGAGTTGGAGATGTTCTCTTGGGGGCTGGGGAGCATGGACGGGTTTACCATCTGGGGGGTGAATGTACACTTTTGTGGGTTATGGACAGTGGGGAGGTGCCATGAGATCCTGGAGGGGGATAGAGCCGAGCTGAAGATGAGTGGCCCTGAGAAAACCCAGCTGGAGTCTAGAATGAACTACTGTGGTATGGGTCTGCGAGCCCGTAAAACAGAAGCACAAATGCCCAGGGCTTGCCAGCCACTTCTCTGGGGCCTCACCAGCCTGGCTCCTGTCTTCCCTCAGGGCCAGTGGGGCTTGGCTCATCCTCTGTCATGGCACCTGTCATGTCAGAACACAATTACCTGTTCACAAGTCCCCTGCCCCAAGGATTGGGGTCTTCCCCTCACTTGCCCTGGAATCCACAAGTACTCGCACAGGACCTGGTTCTCAGCAGGTATGAGCTTGGTGATTGCAGATTGAGCACTTGTAATGTCACTTATAAATTCCTGACCCCCACTCCACCATCAGTGTGGGCTCCACAGGGCCCAGGAGGGCGGGGGTGGGTGGTCTTTGTCCACTGCTAAATTCCCAAAGCCTAGAACAGTGCTTGGCACAGAATATGTGATCAATAAACACATACTGAGTGCACGAAAGAATGAATGACTGGAGGTCAGTGAAAGGACACAGTTCACGTGGCTGTGTGTTTAGGTGGCTTCTTTGCAGCTGGTAGTGGCAAGGCAGTGTGCCTCAGGGACTAGGGGCTCTGGGTAAACCACATTCACGTCTACGG